GTCAGAGGCAGTGCGATTGGCATAGGATAGAGCAGGGTTTAGGGCTGTTGTACATAGGGTCACTATGAGTCGCAAACGACTCGATGGCACATAACAACAACAACCACCTTGTGAGTCACAAAACACCAGCAAAGACTGCTCTGTGTGCCAAGAGAGACAAAGACTGCAAAAAGCTACAGGCCAGATTCTGCAGGGGGAAGGCTTGGCACAGAGTTCTCAAGTCAATCATATTGGACCAATGGCACCTGTGGCTAAAAATAGATCCTCAAAGGAATAGATAATTACTTTAGACAGGGCTATGCATATCCTGTATCAGCTAGAAATGCCAAAAAGACCATTAAAGATTGGAACAAAGGATATTGCACTAGTTTTGGCCACCAAATTTCCTCAAAACAAGGAACACACTCTACAGCCCACAGACTGTAGCAATGGGCCAAGAAATATCATATTAAATGGAATACCATCTAGAATATTAGCCTCAGAGTAATCGTTTGATTAAGAGAACTGGAATGGACAATTGAATTATCTATTATCAAAACCAGAGGGAGATAAATGCATGAATGGTTGAATCACATGCCTTCAATGTGTGCTCACACTCAACATGAGGAAGGTAAAGGGATGGGTGGGGGTCATCACTAGACAGATTCTTAAGTTTCTTAGGGGGATGTGAGGGAGAGGGGGCCTAGAAGGGTGTTGTTGTCATAATTCTTTCCCCACTTCACTGTAACTATTTCTTTCTTGCTGAGTACTGCAATCTCAGCACTGGCAATGCACTTAAAAGATATTGGAATTAGGTTCGTTGTTGTTGTTAGGTGCCATCGAGTGGAGTACCAGTCTTAGTGACTCACAGAACTCTGTTCTATCCTGTGCCATCTTCACAGTCTCTGACACACTCAAACCCATTGCTGCAGTCACCGTGTTACCTCCCCTGGCTGAGGTGTAATGGCTGAGCACACCTGATTGAGGTAAGCTGGGAGAGACGCTTCTACCTGGAAGCAAGAATGATTCCTAAGCCAAGGGACTGTAATGAATGATACCCTTAACCTGTCTCAAGAATTCCCAAAGGCTTGAAGAGTGGACTGTAGCTTCACTCCATTTTTCAAAATTATGATTCTGGTGAATACTATACTATACTATAACTAAACTAATACTATAGTAATACTATAGTAATACTATAGTAATACTATAGTAATACTATAGTAATACTATAGTAATACT